GAGCAGCAGGACCCGATCCCGGAGGTGCCAAAAGTGGTGAGCAGCTTCTCCCCCTTGTTTTTTGTGACGGTGACTTTAATTAACCCCAGCCTCGGAACACATATCCGTCTGAGGGCACTCATTGACTCGGGGTGTGGGAGGGATCTTATCAACCCCTCCCTTGTTACGGGGTTCGAGGCGGGGGTAGTAAAGCTGGAAGACCCTTTGATTTTTACCCAAATGGATGGGTCTACTATGAAAGAACCTTGTGAATACGAGACTATACCATTGAGGTTGGGGGTGGGGGATCATTGGGAAGAACGGCCGTTCGTGATCACCCCAGCTGCTAGATTCCCGCTGGTCCTAGGAGGCCCGTGGCTGCACGGGCACGATCCCTACATACTGTGGGATAAAGGGAAGGTACAGTTCATCTCACCCAGGTTTCAAGAGCACAGGTGGGACCCGAATTGGGGCCAGCAACCTATTGCGGAATCCCCCAGAGTGTGTCTGGCCCAGGAGGAACTGTTATCCATTCCCCCCAAGTACCGGGATCTAGCCAGGGTATTTGAGGAGGAAGAAGCCGATGAGCTCCTCCCTCATAGACATTTAGACTGTAGCATTGAAATATTGCCTGGCCAGAAACTACCTAAGGGGCACATTTATGCCATGGGGCCAGCGGAGAAAGATGAACTGCACAAGTTCATAGACAAGAATCTGGCCCGTGGTTTCATCAGACCAGCCTCCTCCCCATTTGCAGCCCCGGTCTTGTTCCGGAAGAAAAAGGATAGGGGGCTGAGACTCTGCACGGATTACAGGGGTCTAAATGCAGTGTCGTCAACTGATGTCTACCCCATGCCTTTGATCAAAGATTTATTAGCAGAAGCTGCTAAAGTGAAAATCTTTTCTAAGCTGCATCTCTGAGATGCATACTTTCGCGTGTGCATCAGAGAGGGGGATGAGCATAAGACGGCATTCAATACCCCTCTCGGGCAATTTGAATATTGAGTTATGCCATTCGGACTTCAGGGGCCCCCGGGGGTCTTCATGAACTTCATCAACGAGGTGTTGCACAGAACGTGTGAATCAAACTTTGGAACAATATCTTCGTTGTTTTACCAACTACCAACAAGACGATTGGAATGACTTATTGCCTCTGGCTGAATTCTGTTATAATAATACGTGCCACTGTTCCATGGGGATGTCCCCGTTCAAGGCACTGTATGGTTATGACAGCCCGCCTGTTCCATTCCTGGAAGGGGACATGGACATGGGGTCGGGAGATGCTGCTCAGTGGTGCAAACATTTATGTGACTCTTGGCCACTTCTGTGTAAGACGTTAAATGCTGCTAAGGAGGCTTATAAAGCGCAGGCTGATAAGAGAAGGGTGGAGGGTTGGCCTGGTGATTCGGTGTATGTATCCACAAAAAATATTCAGATGCTACGGCCAAGTAGAAAATTGGGTTGGAAATACATTGGGCCATTTAAGGTAAAAAAAGTTATCAATGATGTAGCAGTAGAACTGGATCTGCCTAAAAACTTGAGGAAATTGCATTCTGTATTTCATTTCAGCCTCCTGAAAAGGGATTCTGGTTCCAGCGAGTGACGTCCTGCGGCACCGGTGCCCCCTCCTATCATGATTGAGGGAGAGGAACATTATGAGATCTCTAAAATATTGGACTCTAAGATCAAACATGGAAAATCGTTATATCTGGTGGAATGGGTAGATTTCGGACCGCAGCACCTGGAATGGGTGGAAGTAGGGGATATTCAGGCCCCTCGACTGTTGCGTCAGTTCCATCATGACTTCCCGGACAAGCCGGGGAATCTCCTGGAATGACCTGGAGACCTCCCAGAATGGGTGGGAGATCTCCGGGAATGGGCAGGAGAAGTTGATTTTCGAGAGGGCAGTATGTCAGCTATGCTGCCATGGGGGTTGGGATGCTCAGTCAGAGTCTGTGTAAATTGCTTTCATGTTCCTGTATATGCTTTGCACCGAAACGCTTATCTATAACGATGTGCAGGTGGGAGTGTGTGTTGTCTGCCTTTCCAGGCAGCCGTGGGAGCCGGACAATTCCCAGCTTCACCTAGAAACAGTTTGCTGGCTTTAGCCCGCGCGTGGGAGGGTGCCTAATTGGCCAGCGCAGTGGGGTGTGTGTGTGTGCATACGAATGCCCTATATCTTATTATGTCCAAGGGACAACTGCCATTCTTAACAGTGACTATGTTAATGCATCTATAGCTCTTCAATAAAAGTATAACCTTTCTTGAAAGCGTGTACTCCGTTGTTGGCTGTGGGTTCTGACACCTTTGAACATAAAGCACACCTCAACCTGAGCACTGCTTTGGGGAAGTACTGTCTGGTTACAGACAACCACTTCCTCCAACATCTGATGTGCGGGAAAATGCTCTTTAATCAGCTGGGCAGGATGGCTAAGCCAAGTAGATCTCCTTGGAGGCTGTGGCTGCCTGCATGGGCTCCTGTGTTGCTCCCACCTACCAGCCACTTGGCAACTTCAAAATCCTTCTACAGTGTGTACTGCTTGCTTGAGAAGGGTAGAATGACAGCAATAAAAAACATGACAGCAATAAAAAACTTTGTTGCTGAGAACAAGGCAGCTTTGGAGTCCTTTGTGTGACTAATCACCATTCAGCTGCACAATAGTCGCTGTTGCCCTCTGGGATGGGCACGTTTGACCTCCTATATCTAAGTGAAGCCCAAAGACTGACTACAGCAATCTGCTTAGATGACCTATGAGATCTTATGAACTGTTAATAATATTTTGAAGAAGAATGTTGCTTATTTCTTAGTGCTTTAACTTGGACTTTACTTCTCTGGTTCCAATAAGTCAATAAGATGGACTTTACTTCTCTGGTTCCAATAAGTATATCAAAGCAAATCACTGTAAATACAACTGTGCACATGACAGTGTGTATATAACTGCATGCCAGTCAGTGTGCATACAACTGACACCTCCAAAAGCATATCCAACCAATAAAACACTCAGAAGCAAGGAGTCCCTCGTGCCACTGGCAAAATGACTTTGAGATCGCTAACACTAACCATGTTTAGCACCAACAGTGTGACTAAGTCTGCTGAATGTGAGGCACAGGTTGCTGTTCTGTGCAAAGTTGCCAAAGTAGAGCTGGAAACCATGACATCACCACAGCAATACCCTTGGTGAGAGCAGAGAACAACCCAACCGCATGTCCCAATATCTGTCGGTCTGGCGCCACTATTTTTAAAAGGTATTTGCAGAACTATTTGCATTCATCTATTTCTATCATTATTTTTGGGCGTCTAGAGGTAGTCTCTCTCTTTTTCCTGGTAGCAGCATAAGGAAAAATGCGCCTCTCCCTCACCAAAGGAATAAAAATGGAAATGGCACAGTCGACTCATTTTAACAATTTGTTTTCGATTGCTTGTCGTTCCAAGTATGAGTAAGAAGTGGGGGCTTGTACATAACTAGCTGATTTGGATTAAACATGACATTCCACGTTGGCCTGTGCCAGTAGTTGGCAACAAGATGCACTTCTGAGCCACGTGATACGCAAAAGTGAGGGTAGACAGTCCAACTTCTTCCCCCAAGGCTTTTGAGGGTTAAGTCCTACCAGGCCACAATCACTTCCCAGTTTTTACAGCAACACTGGGAGCCTCAGGAACGGCCATTTCTCTTTCTAATTCTTTAGTCTGAGAAGCCTTGGCTGTTTCTAAGCCACGTAACCCAAACCCACCCCCCCTGTATTCTTTACCCATCTGGGTATAGAACCCCCCACCAAACACAGATAATGCTGCCCCCCATTTTTTCCTAACAGCAGATGATTGCCCATCACTTCTGTAAGAAAAAGGCTGTAAAACCTGCCTTCCATACCTGACCTCATGTACACCGGTGTTAACCAGTGTTATGAATGCTCACATGCATGTGTGTTGAAGAGTGGCGTGCCCTTTTGTTTTTCATACACTGCCATTATCAGTCTTTGTTTCACCTGTTTTTGTTGCCAGTGCTCCGTTCATTTATTTCGAACGCCATTTTGCATAATTCTTACACCAGTTAGATGTTATACAGCACTTCTATGCAACTTATTGAAAAACAACATTAAAAACTGCATACATTTATTGGAACTAATTCTGTGCAAAAATGGTATGAAAACAAAGACTGGTGGGTTCAGAGTGCAAAAGGGAGAAATGGCATCAAAACACAGTGCACATGCACATGCAAGCACATACCCATGCACACGCCCTATCAATTAAGACCTGTTTGTTTGAAGTCTGTTTCAAATTGCTGCAAAATCTGGCAGGCATTTCTAGCATGCAATGTGTCTCTGTGTGCACTGTGTATAGATTGCAACCCCAAGGGAATCCTAGCAAACTACTGGCCCTCTCTCCACATACACCCCATCCATGATCACAACAAGCATTCTGCTAATCAGTACAAAACTTTTAGGGCAGACTGTACTTAGAGCAAGCTCAGCAGACTTCTGTGGCTTGGCATCAAATAAGCTTAATCCTCTTTGTCTCCTGACTGAAGCCACAGCTTGCTGGCTGCCAACAGGAAGGCTTATTCTGCCACTGGGGAGAAAGATCTGTGGAGGAGGTAGGTGTGAGAACGGGCAATTCCGCTGGCAGGTCTCTGGGATCCAAAGAGAGGGGAGTTTTACAGAGGCTGACCTAGGGAAAGGCAGGATAGAAGCCGTGCTGCTGCAAACAAAGAAGCTGGGTGTGAAGCCAGCATTTTAAGATCTTCCGTAGCTCTGGGGGCTGTTAAACATTGTGGTTGGCCACAGATGGTCTTACGGAAGAACTCCTTGGAAGCATGAGCTTCTATGTGCAATGGATGTGAACAGAAAGGGGGAAAGAAACAGGGTGTGGGAGGCCGATATGCCTAATAAATATATATGCTCTGTGATTAATGTTCTGTTGCTTTTACTGGTTAAGATATTTTTTAATGCTGTCCAAGACTTGAGATGATCTTTTCAGCACAGTTATATGGAGTTAAAAAGCTTTTTTTTTTTTTTTGGCTTACCTTTCACTGGGCATTCCAGCAGCACATTGGCTCCTGCTCTTGCCAGGATTGTACCACCAACAGTCACAGAGAAGTTAAAAAGCTCCAAATTAGTTATGTTCAGTGTAGAAGACAATATTGTAGGAGCTTCTGCAAAAAGGAAAAGAGACAAATAAATGAATCAGTAAACCAGACAAGAGTGCTCTGATTCCCCATCACACTCAATGGTGACCAAGTAATGGGGTATTACTCAGGTCCGTTTGATGTGAAAACACAGGGCTACCCAAGAGAACCTAGAGGGACACTATGTAGGGCACCTGATCACTTGGGGAAGGGGACCTACAGAACTAGGCAAGTCATGCAATGGGTTTTCCTATTATATTGGGGGGGGGGAAGGTTTTTTTGGTCTGGGGACATGGTTGCCCTTCGCAGCCCTGTACAGATGAAGGTGGTGTATTATGTGGGCAGGGTTTTCTGTCACTGCCCTACTTTGCTTGTCCTCTTTGCTTTTACTTCTTCTCAGTCCCCTTGCTCACTTCCAAGATGGGTAGCCAAGTTAGTCTGTCTGTAGCAGCAGAAAACAGCAAGAGTCCAGTAGCACCTTAAAAACTAAGGAAATTTGTGGCAGGGTATGAGCTTTCATGAATAATGGCTCACTTCTTCAGGCAAATACATGAAGACATGAGCGGTGACTCATGAAAGCTCCTACCCTGCTACATATTTCCTTAGTCTTTAAAATGCTACTGGACTCTTGCTCTTTTCTACTGCTGCAGACAAACACGGCTACCCATCTTGATCAGTTTGGTGTAGTGGTTAAGTGTGCGGACTCTAATCTGGGAGAACCGGTGTAACAGGCCGGATTCACCCCCCGGCCAGAGTAACCCCGGGGTTACTCTGGCCTAGCCTAGAATAACCCCAGAGGGATTACTCTGGCCTAGCCCGGAGTAACCCCGGGGTTACTCTGGCCAGCCCAGATTAACCCCCCAGGCTAGATTAACCCCCCAGGCCTGCTTTCTGGGGCTGCTGTCCTGTCTCCCTTTTAAATTACTTCTTATCCCCAGCACCAGCTCTCCCAGCTGTCTGGTCTTTCCAGACATGCCTTAGGCCAGACAGAGTCTCTTCCTCCAAGAGCTGGGCAGGCCTGATCTGGCCCCTGAGGCCTGCTTTCTGGGGCTGTTGTCCTGTCTCCCTTTTAAATTTCTTATCCCCAGCACCAGCTCACCCAGCTTTCTGGTCTTTCCAGGCATGCCTTAGGCCGGCCACTGAGCCCCGCCCCTGTATAAGGCCATGTGGCTAGAGTTCATTGCTCTCTCTCCAAGACAGAGTCTCTTCCTCCAAGAGCTGAGTTGCCTTTCCAACAGAGAGCTGTTTTTCCTACTAAGAGAGATACTTCCCCAATGACCAGAGAGAACCACCTTCCACCTACCTTCATCCCTGTGTACTGCTGTTTTGGAAGGTGCTGTCTGGACAACTGGACTAGGTATAAAGAAGAAGTTAAAAAGAAGAAGAGATTGGATTCAGCTGACATTTAACTTACCACTCTGGCCAGGCGGGGGTTAGTATGGGTTACTCTGGCGTGGCCTGGCAGAGGTTTGTGTGGCAGAGGTTAGTCTGGATTAACCCTCGGGGTTACTCTGGCCCGGCCCGGCAGGGGTTACTCCAGGCTAGGCCAGAGTAACCCCTCCGGGGTTATTCTAGGCTTGGCCAGAGTAACCCCTCCGGGGTTATTCTAGGCTAGGCCAGAGTAACCCCGGGGTTACTCTGGCTGGGGGGTGAATCCGGCCTGTTTCACCGGGTTTGATTCCCCACTCCTCTGCTTGCACCTGCAGTCACAAGCTCTGGCACAGCTGTCCTTGAAAAAGAGCAGTTTGTGTCAGAGTTTTCTCAACCCCACCCACCTCACAGGGTGTCTGTTGTGGGGAGGGGAAGGGAAAGGAGTTTGTAAGTCGCTCTGAGACACCTTTGGGTTGTGAAGGGCAGGGTATAAATCCAATCTCTTCTCTTCTTCTTCTTCTAAAGGTCGCAGTTGCTCATAATGCAATAAACAGAGCCTAGAAAGGGGAAGCCAGGAAAGAGGTCAAGTGGCTCTGGGCATGGGAGGGAGGCTTGTTCAGGGAAAGTGAGAGAGTGTCCAGCTTCCTCCTGTAAATCAGGCTGAGAGTCACAAACACCTTTTTCATGTGCCTTTGATTAATCCATGCATCATCGCTACGGTCAGACCGTGCATGAAGTGAAAGCTCCCAGTCTTAGGGACAGTTTTCTTTCTCTCGTTGTGCTGGCAGATTCTGCTTCCTTTGCACAAAAATGTCTGGTTGTTGCATCATGCCTGGATGCAAATCAATTTGGAACGGCATGTTTCTGGACTGGTGAGCGAGGTGTAAGAGCGAGTGTGAGACTAGGGTCAGGAGAGCTTGTAATTCAGTTTGTGCCCATCCCTAGTAGAAACTGCCTAAATAAGAGCTGTCAGGACATATCCTTCTGTGGAAAGATGTGCTGTACTGAAATCAAAACAAAGATGTCTAGATGCTTTTCTAAGGATTTGTGTGAATGGGGATGAAGGTGTGATTCCTAACTTTCCACATTTCCTCCTTCCCTTGTCCAAGAGGCTAGCCTAACACATAGGTTTATAAGAAACTCAAAACGCTTTTCTGAACTCATTGGCATAAATGGCATAAAATATATTCTAAATATAATAAATGCTCAATGCTTATTGTTCAATAGGCTACATTTTTAAATCTTTTTTCTGTACTAGTTAAGGTTATGTTTCTGTGTATGTAGATATGTTAATATGTAAAAAAATAAAAATATAAAAATAGAAATGATAGTCATAAAGCAAAATGGCAAAACTGGAGTATCAAATACTACCTGCATATAACAGCGTTGAAGTTTCCACATCAGAACCGAAGTCATTTTCCACCATGCAATGATACACACCCATTTCCTTCTTGGTGGGATTCAAAATTTGGATCTTGTCATTGGCTGCCAAAACCACCCTGCAGAATGTTTAAGAACAGATAGGATTGCACCAGAAAAATCACTGTCCAGCCCTGCCGGCTAGAAAAACAGAGCAAGAAAGATCTTTCCACCTAGGAACCTCAACAACACCAGCCCAAGCGCAGGGTAAACTTCTGCCTTCCTTTCAGTATATTTTCTTTCTATTTGGATCTCTTTTCTGTCTTAATATAGATCAGGAAGATTCTGCGGAGCTTCTTGTCTCGGCTCCGGGGTCTCCAATCTTTTTGCGCTCACGGGGAACCTCTGGAATTCTGACACAGGGTAGTGGGCACAACCACAAAATGGCTGCTGTAGGAGGTGGTGCCAACCTCAAGAGGGGCACTGCAGGAGGCAGAACTGAGGGCAGGAGAAAGGGGGTGACTTAAAAAATACACCGGAAAAGAGGAGTCAGAAAAGAATAAAACCAACACTGCAGTGGCAGCTGCCACTAGAAGGTTATTTTATTCTGCCCAACCAATTGGATCTCCAGCGGCTAATGAGAAGCCCTCTTGAGGAAGTGTCCAACCTGGCCCCACCCACTTGGTGGGCAGCAGGAAAGGGGTCAGCAGGTGCCATGGTGCCCATGGGTACCATGTTGGCAATCCTGTCTTAGCTCTACAAACCACGTTTTTCACAATTCTCAAGCCCACTAGTATCATGCGTTAAATTCACACACCTCCAACACCAGAAGGACATAATTGGCTTATGAATGACATTTTGTATGTAGAGCCTGATTGCGACACCTAATACTAAAGAACACTGTGGGGCCATAGCTCAATGGTAGAGCACATCAGATGCCCCCAAAAGCAGTGTTCAAAAGCCCAAAACTAAGTAATGAGCTGAGGAAACCCGAGTCACAAAAACTGTGCCCAGACTATCTTTTGGAAAAATGAATGAGGAAAAAAAGGAGAAAAACTGGCACAGGTAGAATTGGCGGTGGGGGGAGATCTACGCAAACAGGCATAGTAAAAGACAAAAAGATAACAGTTAAAAATGGACCCCCTGGGTTGCAGACTGGAGTTCGATAGGTCTTAGGTCTGAAAAGGGTTCAGATTATGTGCTTAACAAATGGAATAAAAATACTTACTCTGTTATAAGTGGATAGGAGATTTTTTGTGTTTATGGAATTTTCTGAAAAATACATTTTTACCATCAAAATCTCGCAGTGATATCACATGGATTAGAGAAATACAGAAGCGTGTAAAGATTCCATTTTACTTACTTCTCAGAGGACTTCAACTCCATCCCATCTTTTGTCCAGTTATAATGAGGGTCACTAGCCCTGACAGTTTCGCAAATCAGATTTATTACATAGGTGTCCCTTGTCAAGACAACTGTACTCCCAATGCGTACTGTTACTGTTTGGTTTGAATAAACTCCTGGCCCTCCTTTTTGCCTTACAATAACTGGGGCCTTTCGGCTTCTCATCACAATGTCTTGGGGTTTGCTGCTGAGATTATCAGACAAGTCTGAAGATTTGGCAGGTTTCTTCAAAGGCAGCTTTTCATCTCGTGGCTCCTTCAGTCTCTCAGAAGCAGACTGTGCTGGCTTGGATAACTCAGCGATTAGTTGATAAACGAGCTGGGAAGCCAAGTCATCGTTGACTTCTCCAGCCTCAACCAGGTGGCTCAAATTCTTTATCAGCTCCTCAAAATGGACCATATCCATGCTGTAAGCCCCGGGAAGCAGCACGGCCTCAAGGCGCTTGTTTCTGAATTCATGAGACCCAAATCCTTCTGCTGAATTTCTCGTCTGAGTCTCAATATGCCGCAGGAAAGGTTGGTCATTCACCTGCCCATCACCCAGATACTGTTTGCTCTTCTGGTTCCAGAGCTGCCACATCTGGCTCATTTTATGCCACTTTGCTCCAAAGCTGTTGGCCTCGTTCTGTTCTGTGCCACTGCTCTCACCCAAGTGCTTTCTAAATGAGGGAGGTTCTATCAGCCTGTTGTCTGTGCCAATCAGCTTGAGAACAAACGTCTCTTGTGCTGAGCCTGCGATGCATTTGTAAACTCCAATGTCCAAAGCCTCAAGGCTGTGTATCTTGAAAGATCCTGACTTGGTAATGCCAAGCCGCTTGGAGATTTGGAGGGGCTGCCCATCCTTCTCCCACTGGATAAGTGACTTCTGGAACCTCCGGACTGGGCACTTAATGACAACAGATGTTTTTGGAAGTAGGTAAGCTCGGCTCCCAATTGTAAAGTTAATGCGCTTCTCTTGCCTAGTCTGTATGTAGACTCTGTGGATGCTGAGAATCTGCGGTCCGCGCAAAGCATACTTCCCCAAAAGTTGCGGTTTTATTTCTTGACTCATCCCTGAAGTGACAAAAAATTTTGGGGTCATGCTAAGCTTATCAGCATTTATCTGGGAGTGCTTCAGATCAGTGGTTTATGGATTGAATGCTGCTGGCCTTGGAATACTAACACCCCAACCGAGCAACTCTTGCTGATTTCAGTGGTATTTATTTCTCACTAAAGATTACAATCAAAGCTTCCTTTCTCAGCTCAGTCACGGATTTCCCTGAGTACAACTATATTATTTATTAGTCATTCATTTACAAAATTTATATCCCGCCTTTCTGGCCCTTAGTATAATGGGAGCTCAGGATGTGACTTCGATAAGGGTTAATTTTTTCCTAACTTGAGTTTAGTTGCCTTAGTCCAGGGATTCCCAACCTTCTGACACAAGGTGGTGGGTACAATTGCCTCAGGAGGAGGAGGAGGAGGAGGAGGAGATTGGATTTATACCCCGCCCTTCACTACCCAAAGGAGTCTCAGAGTGGCTTACAAACTCCTTTCCCTTCCCCTCCCCACAACAGACACCCTGTGAGCTCGGTGGGGTTGCGAGAACTCTGACAGAAACTGCTCTTTTTCAAGAACAGCTGTGCCAGAATTATGGCTTGCCCAAGGTCATTCAGCCAGGTGCAAGTGGATGAGTAAGGAATCAAACCCAGTTCTCCCAGATTAGAGTCCAGGCACTTAACCACTACACACAAACTGGCAGAGCCAACCACAAAATGTCAGGGAGGGAGGCTCCAGGTCACCAGAAAAAGGTTCCTTCCCCATGGCCACAATTCTCTGTGGAGCTGTCATTGCAACTGCAAATGTGGAGTCATTTGTGTTGACCACAGAGAATCTACATGGCAATAACTGACAGTAACTCTTCAATATTCCAGGCAGAAGCTGTTCAATAGGATGCCTTTTAAAATGAACATTTTCCCCATTAACTTCAGTCATACAGTGAAGATTTTTCTGCTGCAACAGAAGCAGCTGCTGCCCTAGCAACATTTTAAAATATCTGCACAGCCAATCAGAAACCCTCCTGGGGAAAAGACCCACCTGGCCCCACCCACTTTCTAAAAACACCTGGTGGGCACCAGGAAAGGTGCTGGCAGATGCTAAGGCACCCATGGGCACCCACCCTGGGGACCCCGGCCTTAGACAACCGGTCTTCAGTCCCATCCCCATTACATTATTTTGTTTTATTAAGAATCTTTACTGTTAAATCAAACTGTTCCATCATATTTTGTACTCTCCTTGCTTTCTTGTAACTATAATCTGCCAGCCCCACTCCATTATTCTGTTTTACTAGGAATCTTTGCTGTTAGATTCAAAGGGGTTTGTCATACTTTGTAATTCACTTGTAATTCAGATTTGCAATCTGCCCTGAGTCCAAGTGAGAAATGCAGACTAGAGATGAAGCTAAACTCTCTATATAATAATTCTCTGTTGGTGGTGGCACGCTGCTCTCCTTCCCCCCACCCCTCTCTTTCTGTTATTCTGAGTTACTTTCCTTTTTACAATAGCAGAAGTTCACAACATTTCTTTTAAAAATACTCTCCACCAAGCAATATGCAGACTGGACATGCTGCCATGCTAACTATCCACAATTAATTAAATTCAGGGAGATATGCAGCTCAAAATATTTTATTAAATGCAGCGCCAAGGACATTCCTGCAGGTCCATGGAGCTTTATTTAAAGTGGTATTTGGAAGCTCTGGATTTTGGCATATTAACTGGCAACAAAGTCCAAGGGATGGGGGGAGTTTCCTGCTATGTCCGAACCAAAATTATTGTAGCTCCTATTTTGTTTTCTGAATAGTTTTCAATGCAAACTGAAGCCATATAGCCAAGAAGGACATTCAATTCAAGGCTATCTTGCATTGGGTGGGTTCTCCCAATGAGTAAAGTCAAAGAAAACCCTGTCTTCCTTATAGTCAGACAGCAACACTGGAAAGGGCCATCCAGCTGAACCCTCTTTTTCTGCACAGATGCCCAGACCTTCTCTTTTATAAGTCAGGGTCTCCAACTCTGTTGTGCTTGTGGGTGCTTGTGGAATGCTAAGCAAAGGGTAGCAGCTGCTGCTACAAAATGGTGGCCATGGGGTCAGGGGTCAATCAGCAAATGTTGGGAGGTTCCAAATCAAGCCCCATCCAATAACTTTTAGGGAGCTTCTGAATGGGAACTCTCTGCATCTGCAGCAACGGATGTTTCCTGGGTTCTTCCAAATCACCTTCTGCACCAAGGAAGGGGGTGGAAGCTGGGATGGGCTCTTGGAGAAAGAGATATCCTTTGCTTTCAAATTTCTGAACCATGGGAAGAGTAGGCTGGGCTTGCTGTATGGTCACAGGCAGAGCTTTCCCACCCCTAGTTGGTCAGTGGGTCGAGTGACTGTCCTGAAGTTCCCTGCTTTGGTTTCTGTTCAGTTCAAGACCCTTGATATTTCCCCCCCCCAAGATTCAAGGCACCAGGAAAAACATTGCAGGGAGCCACACTGGGGATCACTGGTCCACCTATGAGAGGAAGTGGGTTGCGACTCATGTAGAAACAATACTGAAATAATATATTGTGTGCACTAGTTTTGGAGGCCTCACTTCTGTGGTTCTATATGATTCTATGAAATGTGGTTAGTCTTTAAGGTGCCCCTGGACCTGTGTTCTGTTTTGCTACAGCAGACTAATGTGGCTACCCCTTTGCAGTCTACCTAATTCAGTCCACAATGTGCCACAAGCAGAGAACGAGGGTCAGGATCACTTACAATTTACTCACACTGTAAAAAGCCAATACAGGAGCCAGTGTGGTGTAGTGGTTAGAGCGTCAGACTAGGATCCGGGAGACCCAGGATCAAAACCCTGCTCTCCCACAGAAGACAACTGGACAAACTTGGGCCAGTCACATTATCTCAGCCTAAACCTATCTCATAGGGTTGCTGTGAAGATAAAACAGGAGGGGAAAACAGTGTAGGCCCCTATGGATCCCCCAGTGGGGACAAAGGCAGGGTATAAATGAACTAAATAAATAGATGCACCACACACATGTGCAAAAGCATGTTTCCAAGAGGCACGTTCATCAAAAGAGCTACCTTATCTGGATCAGTTCCACTGACCATTAGATGTAAGTAGGGTTGCCAGGTCTGGATTGGAAAATACCTGGGAACTTTGGGGGTGGATCCAGGAGAGAGCAGGGTTTGGGGAGGAGGGGGGCCTCAGCATGGCACCATGCCATAGAGTCCACCCTCCAAAGCAGCCATTTTCTCCAGGGGAGCTGATCTCTGTCAGCTGGATATCACTTGTCAAAGTGGGAGATCCCCAGGCCCTACCTGGGGGCTGGCAACCCTAGATGTAAGTACCTTATTTCCAGCAATGACCACTCAGATCCCTCTGAACACTGTACAAGGAAGGCATGAAGGCAACAGCCTGCCTGCATTATTTGTCCCCAAGTACCTGCAGAGGTATACTGCTCCTGGGGCTGTCGGGGCTGTCAGTAGATTCTATCCTCCATGAATTTGCCCCCCTCCCGCCATGACTGGCCACCATCTCCTTCCATAAATGAATTCCGCACAGTGTGAAACAGTGGCTTTTTTGGCCCAGAGTGGTGGCAACAGCTGATATGAAGCTGTAGAGGCTTTGATATAGCATAGGCTACTTTTGTGGGGCGGGGGGGGGGGAGAAGTAAAAAAAATCCCAGAAAGCAGCCTTTTAGGACCCTGGCTTTGCCCAGCTGACTCCACTGCTATTAATATTAAAGCACCCTGGAGTCTTTAGAAAGCCAAAACACCACACGGGTCCAGAATGAGAGGTGACATACGCGCGTAAAGCGTGCAAGCGTTGCACAGAGGCCGCGGCTGCCACACTGTGCCTGCTTGTGCTGGCAGAACCCCACCAACCTCGGCCAGGCTCCGCTGACAGAGCCAGCGCAGCCAGGACTGCAGCCAGAATCCATCTGCACAAAAGACCAGTCAGAGGCCTAATTGGTTATTATTCTACATATCCACTTCCCACCCTGAAAGGCACTTTCAGAACAGCCACATAATCATACTGGAGACACCCACTTCAAGACTGCTGGCAACAAGCAGCAGTGTGTTCAGAAAGAGAGAAAGGATGGGCGGGGGTGGTGGTGAAGAAAAGGCTCTCTCTTGTGCACAGTGGATCACTTTCAGAATAATAAATAGTCAACAGTGGGATGTGCCGATTTCTCCTGTTTCATTGCTAAACTGTACTGAAATTTAGCTGAACTCTACAGTTGACTCATGCTTAATTCTGGTTTAACTCGGAGATTTTTCTACAATTAATTCCAGAAGTAGAGCATGTGTGATCTGAATTCCTTCCATTCACGTGCATTTCCCCCATGCCCCCCCTAACACCACACATTGATAAACCTCTACAAAATGCTATCCTGATGTGGTTGTATGTATGATTAATCAAGCAAGACTGCTTTTTTTCCTGTGGTTTTTCATCAGTACAGACCAGTACACTTTTTGCAGAGTCTTTTCAGTACAAACAGGTACATAATTAATGTGTGTGTGCAAGGGGGGGGGATGGGCACAACCCAGGAAAATGAAGGTTTGTCCCAGTTTGTGGTTCATGAGACCCCACAAAGCTTCACAAACTTTCTGATTTACTGAATCAGTTCATTTCATGATGGGATAGAACGCTCCCTCCCCACCCCAGCTAGAGATGCAAAACTTGCAGCAAGTCTCTAGCTGACTCTCCTCTTCTACCAAAGGGAGATTGCCCCCTTTTCCTTCTGACCCTGTGATTGTTCGCTTCTGGGCCTCCTGGGGTCCCCCTTTCTAGCCTGACCTCATCTGCTGGCCTTCCATTGATTGCCTCATGGGCCAGTTTCCTGGAACTCCCACCACTTCTATCAAAAGAAGAATCACCACTTTTTCCTTCTGACCCCACAATGTTTGACTTCCGGGCCTCCTGAAGTTCCCCTTTTTGGCCTGACCTCATCTTCTGGCCTCCCTCTGACTGCCCCACAGGCCAGTTCCTAGAACTCCTGCCACTAGGCTTGCCAAGCCCCCGCTGGGGACG